TGTGTGTGTGTGTGTGTGTGTGTGTGTGTGGCCAGCTCAGCCCACCAGGGGGCGGGGCTGGCTGGCATGTGGCACTGGGGGATTGAACTGGGGTCCATGTGCTTTGCTAAGCTTGTTCTAAGTAGGTGCTTTAGACCACTGAGCCATCTCACCAGCCCAGACCCCTAGAATTTTAAGAGAAATTGTGGGTTTTTTTTTTTTTTTTTTTTTTTTTTGGTACCACAGATCAAACTCAGGACCTTGCACTTGCCTGGCAGGTACTTATGTAGCTGACCTACCTCCCTGGCCCTCATTTTGTTTTGACTTTGGTGCTAGGCATTGAACCCAGGGCCTTGCACATGCTATAAATTCGCTATCCCCCTGAGCTATACCTCTAGGCCCAATTTATGTTGTTTTAAGCCCCCAAATTTTTCATAATTCACTACAGTAACATAGGAAACAGATACTCCTGCTTCTACTGCTACAAGCTCAGTGGTGTTTTCTAAAACACTACTTAAAAGACAGTGTGTAGGGGCGCGGGAGATAGCTCAGTAGAATAAGTGCTTGCCTGGCAAGCAGAAGGGCCTGAGTTCAATCCCCCGGTTCTGCCAAAAAAGAAAAAACTGTGTAGCTGGGCATGATGGTGCATGTCTATAATCCCAGCACTCGGGAGGCTAAAACAGGAAGATGGCAAGTTGAAGCTCAGCCCGGGCAATGTAGTGAATTAGTGGTAATCATCTGCTCTCATAAGCTAGTGACGGGGGTTGCTGGGCATGGCAGCTTTTCTTGGACTCCTGGGTACACTGTGAACCCCTCCTCTGCATGCTATGGGGCCACAGCACCATTGGGGATGGGAAGGACACAACTCCTAGAGCAGGGGGAAGGATCCCAAGGCCCAGGGCAAAGCTGGAACAACTGATAATCTTCCAGTGGTGTAACGGACTAACATTATCTTGCTGATTCTTGATGTCCCCAACCAACAATCTACCTAGTGTTGCTGGCTCCTCCTCTCCCTCCTTTCCTCTCCCCCTGTATCTGGAGGAGGGCAGGTTGGCCGGAAGCTGCCTTTTGAGGTTTCTGGTCATTTCCTGTACCTTAGTCTCTCCCATCCAACCAGTGTAAGGTCACATCAGGCAATGCCACTTCTCCTACCCCTGGTAAGGTTCTCCGTGTTTCTGATCCCCTGGACCTGAAGTCTCAAAGGAGGGAGAAAATGAAAACTTATTAAGGGTAATAAAGGCAGAAAAGGATTCTGGGGATTCTAAGCATGTGGGTCATCCTGGCAAGGGACACTGCTGGTTCCAGTAGGATCAGGGGAGATTTGTTTTTTTTTTCAGTCAGGCACATTGGCTGAGAACAGGCTCCTACTGTAGGGCCAAAGGGGATTTCTCCTCCAACTGCTAGGGATTGGAACCGAGGACCTCACACATGCTAAGCAAGAGCTCTAGCACTGAGCTGAAAGGGGATCTTAAGAATCAGCTTGCCTGGAGTGTAGTTTAGTAGTAGCACACACACTTAGCATCTGCAATTCCCTTAGGTTTTATTTTATTGCACCAGGAATCAAATTTAGGACTTTGTGCTTGCCAGGCAAGCACTGTGCCACTGAGCTATCTCCCCAGCCCTCCCTTAGGTTTATCCACAGCAACACACACACACACACACACACACACACAAAAAAAAAAACTTGCTCAGCACTCGTTTTAGAGACCTAAACTGAGAAACTATACAACTCGCTCAAGGTCAACAGTGTTTTGGATGCAGCATTAGGACTAACCTAGATCTGAATGCTCACTAGACCTTGCTGCTGGTCCAAGCACCTGGGTCCCCTGGGAACAGCAGCAGGAAGAACCGAAGCCTGTCTAGATCCCATGTAAGAAGTGGGAAGATAGGAGTAAGTACTCTACATTGCTCACTTTAATTTTAAAAATTTATTTTATTCAAATTGGAAAATGAATACAAATCCCTGGGTATTTTGAGGGGACATTAAGGGTTGGGCAGGAAGGAGGAGAAGACAGGTGAGGCAAGGTTAGGAGCATCACAGTGGCTGCCTCGGGTCCCTGCTGGTGAGGAGAGGCTGGTGTGAGGTTGAGCGGGGCACTCAGGGCCGGAGGAACACCATGGTGAGGAGGCCTGGAGATGGAGAAGGAAACAGCAAGTTGGCCAACACAGCCCTCTTGGATCCTGCTCTCTTTTCTCTGGATGTGGGTCTGGATCCCCAAGCCACTACTGCGCTCACCTAACACATAAGCTGCCACCAACTTCTGTCCCAGGGAAACATGCAGGACCTGTGGCAGCTGGCTGCCAGGAGTGTCCTGGAGTGGAAGCAGCAGGAAGGCCACAGAGATGATGCCAGTCAGCAAGAAGAGGACGAAGGAGCTGGTGGCCAGCTGTTGACGAGGATCTGGAAATAAGGCTCCTTAGCAGTGGCTTTCCCTCCTGTCCGACCAGGAAGCGGACATGGATGATGTCTCTGTATTTTATCACCCGCCAGGGGCCACACTGTGAGTGTCCTCTCCTCCCTGGAGCCTCTGCCCTTCTGCAGTCATTACTATCTTTTGTGTACTCATGCGGCACGTAGGGACCTCTCTCTCTCCCACCCACAACTCAGTATTTCATAGATACTCAGTATAGGTCTGTCTGTGTCTGTTTCTCTTCTCTCTCCTCTTCCTCTCCCTCTGTCTCTCCTGGGTAAGGGGTGGGCACAGGATTGAAAGTAGCACATTCCCATTGAGCTACATCCCTGGATCTTTTTTATTTGACAAAGGGTCTAAGTTCCCCAGGCTCAACTCAAAGTAGCGGTTTTCCTGCCTCAGCCTGCCAGGGTGCAGGTGTGCACCACTACACCCAGCTGTCAGCATAGGTTTCTTATGGAACTGCACTGAGCTAACACCTGATAGAAGTACTTCAGTTAGAGCTAAGTGAGTATAAGTCAGTAACCAGGGAAATGATAGGCTTCTTTCTTTACCTGATATAAATTTTAATTAGGAATGTTTCCACCAACAGGCAAAAAGGTAAACCAGAAGACTTTTTCAAACCCACTTTAGCTCATCTCCAGGTTAAGGCTGTTTACTCTCTCCATACAGAACTCCAGAATCCACACTGCCCAACTTACTCTCCTGGAAGTGTCTGGCCATAGGTGGTGTTGTCCAGGCAGGAGGTCCTGGCTGGGGTGTTGGCTCAGGGTGTCCCTGAAGCTCAAGGGGGTATGCTGGAGCCCGCAGAACTGATGTGATGTCCTTGCGTCCCACCACTCGGCCCTCAGCGCCCTCCTCAGACAGCTCAATGCGGAAGCGATCCTGGACATCATAATGACTGGGAATGGGGGCCACGTGGCGAATCACACTGGATGCAAAATAAAGACAGGATTGCTGGGAGTTAAGTCACACCCCCAGAAGGTCCTCCTCTAAGGGTTCCCTAAGGGATGCTGACAGGGTGAGGAAAGCATCTTAAAGAGGATAAGGTCTCAGGCCTAATATAACTGGTGCTATCGACCCTCGACTTCCTTCAGCTTCCCCACCTTCCAACTCACATGTCAATGCAGGACTGAGGTCTTACATATCCTTCTGCGTCAAACACCGTGTATTTGGCAGGTGCTGTGCACAGAACTGTGGAGAAAAAGAACCACAGAAGAGCTTCTAGGCAAGTCTTCCCCATGGTGGGACACTAGAGTTCCCTATTCCCAATCTCCAACCCCAAGGCTGGACATGATTTATTTTTTATTTATTCTATTTTATTTTATTTTGCGGTACCAGGGTTTGAAGTCGGGACCCTGCGTTTGCTAGGCAAGCGCTTATTCTACTGAGCTATCTCCCTGGCCCAGGACACAATTCTTTTGGTGGCCAAGATTTTGCATCTGGTCCTACTCAACTGTACCTCTAGAGTTCAATCCCCGGGCCTAAATTCAATCCCCGGTTCCACCAAAAACCAAAAACCGTGTCTCTAGCCCACACAGCCCCCCAAAAGGTTCTGCAACCAGCCCCCAGATCCCCAGCAGGCACCCATCCCTTCACCTCGGAAGCGAAGCGCAGTTCCTGTGGGGTTATAGAGTGTCAGCAGCTGCCGGGGTCCGCTCCTTTGGTCCGCCCTGAATACTAGATCCGGGGGA